AAACAATGTTGACAAAAATGACATTTTCACATTGAATCAATGTGGCACATCAATGTTGTTTCAACATTATAAATGTTGCCATGAAACATTGTTTCAATGTTGTTTCCACATGGATGTGTTACCTGGGTAGTTAGACTCCGTTAATACTTAGGCCTACCACTCGCACTTCCAAGTGTAGAACCTAACTTAACATACAGTTATTTGCAAGTGAATTTGTACCACTTTTAACATGAACGCCTTAGACACGATTCCCCATATTTCATGGTCGAAACACCCTCATCTCCTTGATTGTGCCATAAAAATACCATGTACAGGGTGGGCCAAAAAAAACGCCCAAAATTTGAAGCCTAATAACTTGGACTCCGTTGGGCCAATATCAGTTTTTAAAACAGCAAAATTAAGCTTGTTCAATTTTCTTTCGAATGATATATAATTTTGGGGGGCTTGCCTCAGAGAAATGGCCGTTATTACAGTTTTAAAAAAAGTGAGGGAAAATTTTCCTGAAAACAGCTTTCCTGAGTTCTTTCCAATGCTTCATTTTGCTGCTGTCGCCTGTTTATCCTTCGCGCCTCTGCATTATATGGATTGGTTGATGAGAGATCATGCGATCATGAAGCGAGTAACATGAGGCTGTTGTAGATTGTGGAGGAGGACACATTGAACCATTTTTGGGTCATTAAAAAGGTCCGTGTGCGTGTGAGTGATAAATTCGAGGTTGAGGAAAAGGAACTTGGAGTAAAAGCCCATTTTCAGGAAATTTTTTCGTCACTTTTTTTTTAAACTGTAATAACGGCCATTTCTCTGAAGCAAACCCACCAAAAGATATATCATTCGAAAGAAAATTGAACAAGCTTCATTTTGCTTTTTTAAAAATTGATATTAGCCCAACGGGGCCCAAGTTATTAAACTCCAAATTTGGGGGCGGTTTTTTTGGCCCACCCTGTACACTGTAAAAAGTTAGTGAAAATTCATTTTCGATCACTGTATGGGCTGGACTTGTGCAGTCTATGTCTGGTTAAGGGGAAACAAGAGAACATGACTTCGTTTTTTTTATATTTTCCTATCAGGAACTCATGATGGAGGTCAGGCTGGGGTAGGTCTTCCCATCACGAAAGGCAAAATTGCATTTTTTTTAAAGGGTGCATTCTGACTATCAGCATATAATTCCTAAGTAGCCCATAGGAAGGGCAGAGGCACAGTGAAAGTAGTGAGTATGAGTATTTATCCAGTGCAGCTGGACTGGTCATGAAATGGAAACTGGAAATGAAAATTGAATTACGACCATCACTAGTAACGATCATAATTCAATTTTCATGAAATCAGAGGTAACTTTCGCTTTCAGTGCATGCATCCAGCTTCTGTCAAAGAAGTGGAGAAGAATCAACGATCAGAATTTTTGTTTAGGAAAAGTAACTTGAAAAGTAACTTCTACTGGTAACTAGTTACTTTTGGTGAGAAGTAATTCTACTTGTAACTAATTACTTTTTGGATGGAATACTTTTAATTGAGAAGTTCTCTGGAAAAGGGACGCATGTGCCCATACGCCCTTTTTCCATATCGTGTCCATGTGCAGCTTTAGACGACTTGTCATCAGATCAGCAAGTAGTTAATATGAGTATTCAGCAAAGGAGAAGCAGATTTTCCTATGCTCTCACTATATAGCAGACCAACTGCCTGGCAAATTCAATATGGCTGCCTCCATGAATATTCCATTAGCACTTGCATGATGAACGATTTTGGTGGAATTATTTCGTCCTTTTAAACTGAAAATGAAAATGAGGGAGAAAACAGACATGAGGATAGGGAAAGAAAGAGACCCAGTCAAGCCACTGGAAGGATATGAGAAGTTAGAGATATCCATGAAATAGTTGCAGATTCAGATAATGAATTCATTAATACTGGATCACTGCTGAGTAATTGGCGAATGAAACGTGTCCTGAATATTCACATTTTTCTTGCTATTCTTTAAGAAAGAGTTTATATAAAATCTATCGATGCCTTTATTGATTAAATATTATTTTTTAGCGGGAAAGGAGTGGTGAAAGACTCTTTGGAAAAAGTTTCAGCAGTGCGGATATGGAAAAAGGGCGTATGTGCATAAACACTTTCTGCCTGCATCCCAGCNTCATGCATAAACAAAGAGTACCCGCGTATTTTAAGCTCAAACGCATGTTTCTTTCTGCACCCGGTCCCCAGAAAAAAATTAGGAGACCTTAGAACTTGAACGCACCTCGTACTAGATGTATACTTGTCGATAGAAAACATAATTTCGTTGTTAAAGGCGTGCTAATTGCAATCCTATGGTTTTCTACTGGGCACCTTGTAGTTACTTTTCACAAGTAACGCGCCCAACACTGACATCCATGCGCATTCCTTGCTCTGATGAGAGGTCTTGCACAGAGAAAAGTGTTTTACGATTATGGGCTCATGCACACAGACTGCAAAGAGCTGCGTTGCGACCCCTGCAACCGTCACATTGCGTTGGCCGCACTATGGAGGAGTGGGATCCTCGCATTCGGTCGCAGTTGGCTTCGCAACGGAATCGAACGAGTCGGTCACGTCCGTCAGTCGCGTCCAAGCAGTAGTTCGTGCTGTGTATGTACCGACTGCGAGTTGTTAGATAATGTTCCGGTGAATCTTTTGGAGTGAAATTTTTGGTTCACACTGGAGATTCTTGTGCAGCGTGAATTCCAAAGTTCGCGACGCCCGATGTCAAAACCATACCCTACACATATCAGAAGATTTTCGAGACTTGCTCGGTCATGGACAAGTCCCGCAACGGACGTCCAGCTCGAACGGTGATCAACAGGTGATCGAAGACGCCTTTTTTTGCCAGTCAGACGATTGTCGATCCATCAGAGGAGCTGCTTTGGAATTGGACATAAGCTTCTTTCCCATTCAAGGAGTGCTCCGAAAATACATAAAAATGAAACCATAAGAGATCCAGGTGGTGCATGCATTACAGGACCGGGATCGCAAACGGAGTCAAAATGTGTGAGACATAGATTCAGCTCGAAATGATGAAACAATCTTTTATGGGTGACATATAGTTGAGTCATGAACTGGTAGTCAACTGTCTTATATTACACTGTAGCCCATCCATATACCCCTCAATTTAAAAAAAGGCAAGGTACTTGATCATTGAATGAATACGAAACTCCTCAAAATACTTTTATTAGTTCTAGTCGCACTCTTGTGTGACAGTTTCATGGCTAAAATCTTGTACTTTTTAATATCACGGCAGGAAGCACCATCCCAAAGACAGGTCCCGGCACAACAGAGCACTGTCTTCCTTTGGTCAAATGATTACATGCTGCCTCATGTGGCCTAAAAAAAATGGCAAAACCGAAGAGAGAAATGATTCCAGGAACTCGAAAAGAACATGACAAGCGTTGGGGAGGAATTCCATTCGTAACTTTGTGCAAGGCATGTGGAGGATTCAGCACATTTCAAGGCAATCAATCGAATTCAATCTTGTCTCAGTCACAGGTCATTACTTGAAGACCACTCAGTAATTGTTTAACGATTTTAAAATTACACATACCCAAGTTATTCTATGCCCTTAAGTTTTAAACTGTTATTAATTCACGCTTTTCTTGAAAGACGAGTTATAACTAAACTATTGCACGACAGCCTATCACATAGCTTCTGAGTTTCAACTTTGAGTGACGAAATGAGAGCGACCAACACACAACTGGGTATTAATTTTCCAGTCGCATCACTACTTGAACTAGAAGGAATCTTCAGCACGATAAGCCGTGATCAAAAAAGAGAAACATGACGAGAACATGTTAGTCAATGTCATAGTCAATATCAAGCACAAGACGAAATTTAAAAAGAGACGTGAATGGGTCAAATGGTTCCCTGAGCATGCTCGTGTCCAAGAAAAGATGTCACATGAGCTTCGAATTTCCGACGGTATCCTTGGTCTCGGCGTTGTCATCTCCCGGCAGTGAGACTTGAATTTCGTCCGCAGCAGTGGAATCGGTTGCCGAGTCGGCCGCGGTCGGATCGTCGTTCCCGTCTTCACCATGACGCTGGATGCATTTTTGGATGCGGGAATCAATTTCCTCCTGTGTCAACCCTCGTTCGCTGGCCATCTGGAGAGTCAGGTTCTGAATGCTGGCCTGAAGGAGCGACCAATCGGTCTTCTCTTCGTCCGCACGGCCGCCATCGAAGCTTTCGTCTTCCTCCTCGACGTCGCTCGACACGGTTCTGCTGATTGCAGGCGAGGGCAGCAGACGCTGTCCCTCCGTTGCTTCCAGATACTGATTCGTCGGTCGGTCGCCGGAGTCAAACTTCACGGGTTTTGGGGTTGCGCATTCTTCGAGGACGAACTCGCGACGGGCGTGGATGCGAGCCGAAATGCATTCCAGATTTTGCAGAGAGTCCGCATATTTTTGCTTGGCGACGGCCACTTCCAACTGCAGATGCTGGATCTTCTGCTTCTGCTGTTGTAGCTGCTGCTCCAGAGATTCCTTGTATTCGAAATAGGCCTTGGACTTGACGATGTGGCGCTGGAGACGCCGTTCCAGCTGCTGTGTCTTTCGCTCCGCCTGCGTGAAGAGCAAGGCCGTTTCGTGATGCTTTTGCTCAGATGAGACTCGCCTTTTCTCGGCCTCCAATTTCTTCCTTGTGGCGCGATTCAACATATCCTGCCATGCAGAATTTATTTCCCAGTTCCCTTTACGGGAAAGGAAACGCTCCTCGGCCATAGAGATGGTCTCCTCTGCAGCCTGATAGATCTCGTTGGCATGATGGAACTGAACGGCCGCCTTCTGACACTCCATCTGGGCCTTCCTGGATGCATCCTTTGCCTTATAATACGGGCGTGCCCTCTCGATACAGGAGCCCAGCTTGGTGGCCAAATAGCGGAGATGCTGCGTCGACTCGGATAGGATGTGACGGAAGGTAGCATTGGCATCGTCTAATGCCACTTCGAGTCGATTGATCTCGTCGGTGCAGGTATTGAGGTTCTCGAGTTCGATGCGGACCCCCGGCTCCAGTTTCTCCTCGTTCGCGCTCACATCCGCGCTCTCCATCGCACTCAAGGTCAAAAGAGGACTGCTTGGTCACCAAGCCCTGACTGTTCGCAGAGGATACCTTATGGATGAGAGACGCAGTCCAGATCTGAGCTCCAGGCAGGAAGAATGTTTCGGACGAGGAAAGAGAGATTTCCCTTCCCCTCGATGTTTTTTTGTCTGGCCGAGTCACCGCCAAATCGAGGAAATCAAATCTGGAAGAATATGAGAGTCATGCATGTGCCTGATCATGCTGAAAGCTTCAATCATGGAATCATACAGAATACTGCTCATACATGCTTTGACAGTTATTATGAAAAATGCAGCTTTCGGGTCAGGCCTGGCATTAGCAGAATCCACTACCATCGTTATTAAAACAAAAACGGTACCCTATTAAAGTAAAACGGTATTTTCAGGCCACAAGACAGAGTAACCACAAAAGTCCCTATACGGTCGCGCTGTATAAGGGTGAGCTGGGGTAATATTAAACTGGAAAACACGTGATTACACCTTCCAGTGAGGAAAGACTGAATTCTTTCCCTTCCAAGCAATGTACAAGAAATTTCAATGATCGACTCCTATCGTTTTTCAGTTTTTGTTGCAAAGCAGGTTCAAAAAAGATTGCCTCATTAAAAACCCTTTTTAATGCTTTTTCCCCTGCAAACGGCGAATTTGTGACTAACTATGGAAATTTTGTTTCTCTAGGACTTCTAGCACTGCTTTCTCATTTAAAAAAAAGTATTATTACTTATTGTTACATTTACCCTGCCTCACCCAACCGTTCCAGGTGCAGTTGTGGATGATTCTGAACGGCGGCAGTTCCTGTACGATCGAAGAACGTCTGCTAGCAATGCCATGGGTCCATGAGAAAGACCGTAAAAACAAACCTTGGTATGATATTCGAAAAAGTTTTTAAAAGAGATTCAGGAAACCCGCCATTCCCTGGCGACAAACTGGGAGGTATTCATACCTGGCGTCGAAATAAAAGATTTTCTACGGGTTCTGCAATCTTGGACATCAAATGGAGACGCTTCGTCAGGCAGGCAGGATCCGTCATACAAGAGACAAATGCAATCTTCTGTCCGTCCTTTCTGTGCTCCTGCAAGACGAGACGAGGCACACAGTCATTCACTTATCCGTCCAATCGTTCGTCGCAAGCAGACGACGAGGAATTCAGGGACGAAGCTCACTGACGTTGAACACGTTGTCATATCTCTCGCTCCAATGTGTCAATTGCATTCAACTTTGACGATCTGGCTGACCGGCTGAGGTGACGAACTCTCTCTCTCACCTATCGTAGCTCCACATTCACTTGGCAATTAACGCACCCTTCTGCATCACAAAGAAGAATCGTTTGGTTGCATGGCTACAACTGACCCAGGTCCTAATTCCAAGCATTTCAGTCGGCGAGACTAAGACGATGACTAGAGTCGTCTCAACTGTGAGTATGCGAACCACGAGAACCACGTGGGCCAGGCGACCACATGGATCTCCATCCTTCCATCCCTGGCTCCATTCGTAAAACTGCATTGGTCACCCTCCCACCTCCGCTCTCCCTTATGAATTCGAAAATTTCTCGACCAATACTTATGGGTCTCTGGAACCTGGAGCGAGACTAGACCATCCTGCTACCGGCAGAGCCTTGAGGTCGATTAGACATATACAAACATATTTAAAAAATTACTGGCGTAAGGTGAGAATCACTGAAGAGTCACAGGGAAGACAAAAATATTGACAATAGCAAGAAGATAATTATAAATATATCAATGTACTATGACGAGGTGAAACTCTGGTCCATATTGCCAGTGTTCCTCTCCCGAGCATAATGGTCCCAAGTGTTCATTCTCGATTCAGTATCCTTTGCTGTCTATAATGACGGGTAGGGAAGGAATGCAAGAAGAGTGGGGACGCCTGAACCACGAGCACTCACTGGGACTATCCACGACAGAGTATAAGGTCGGAGGGTCTTCGTTTCCCAACGCGAGACGGTCCGACGAAATCCGACTTGGCAACGGAACCGACGAGATCTACGGTGAATTTAAACAGGAGAATAAAGCTTTCACTCGAAGGACGAGAAGAGTAAGATAGGTCGACGAAGAACTTACCCGGGTGAGAAAGACGAGTGAAGCGCACACTCGGACGAGAAACCGGAGAAAGGCAAGCACGGAGTGAAGAAAGGATATGGAATCGAGCAGGAAGGCGAGGATATGGAATCGGGCAGGAAGGCAAGGCCATGCCCTCGGGACGTGGGGATCGACCTCTAACAAGCCCAATTTCACTTATCCCGGTTTCTTTCATTACGATCGACTCATTTGGATTTTTCGTGTTTGTTTCGTTGTTGCAAGTTTAAAGGAGCCGTTACCATCTCGCGCAGGAAAGAGATGGAACAGAATATGCAATGGGAGAAATTTCCATATCACGTGCCAGATGACAGATCCATCTTGTCGCCTCTCTCTTTGGCTTTTCACGATACGAGAAGCTCCGCTTGATCAGTGAGACGACAGAAATCCGCTTGCGTCTAGGCGTCGTTACCCCGCGCCGATTTGTCAACGGAGCAGCAAGTAGTCGGCGCCGTTTCTTTATAATAGTATCTGCCATTCTCTTATGATTAGTATCTCCGTAAAACTCCACTCTTTTAGATTGAGGTCTTGCCCCTCTTCCCCGTATGAGGGGAATTCTCACTCACAGCAACAGTTCTCAACCTGCGTGCCGCGAGAGGCCGACAGGGTGGGTTCTGTCAAGTTTTTTAAAATTATTTCTGGCCTGTCGCCAGGAGGTGGCAGTACCTCTTTACACTCGCGAAGAAGTGGCAATACCAGGAGAGGGTACCAAACTTATGCTCATGAACGGCTCTCAAATTACGGCGCTTCCTGATTTCAGAGTAACTGTCAGGGAAGAATACCTAATATGTTGCTGCAATGAAGATCCTGATTCGTTTTACCCCAACATGTCTTTGAGAGTGAGTCTACCTTTCTTATGCTGGGTACATGAGAAAAAGAGTTCCGGTCTCGTTACAGCATTGGAAATGACCTAAGTGTTCACTTAGTAAATGTAGCCAGGTCTGGATAATCTATGCAACCGGTGGTAGGCACAGGAACCGCAATGAAGTGAAATAAGAAAAAAATTAAGAGTTTGAAATAAAATTATTTGAATTGCGAAGCCATCTTTCATAGTAAACCTCTGTATAAACATGGAGGTCCTTGTTTTCAGAGTTTTAATTTCCAGTATTTCTACTTGGTTGTTAATCCATGGAAGTGCAGGGATGCAGCTAAAATATCCCTGCCCAAAAAATGTGTCGCTGCTAATGAAAGAGAAAAGCTGATTTGCAGGATATATTGTTTGTGTTCTGATGATGTAATGTGAAGGGTTTCATGGAGGGGGGGGGGGTGGTAGTCGGATAAACGTCATGGGCCTTACACCCCTCGGCCGGGCGGGGGAGGCTTGTACAGGGTGTCTGAAAAGTCACTCTCTATTTTTAAATTGTTATTGCTCCTAAACCAAAGGAGATATTAAAACATTTCTTTAACTGAATTGAAGCTTATTTTTTACCGTTTACTTTATAACAAAATTGAAAAGCTTTATTACAAAGTTAAAATTCAACGTAGGCTCCAGCATTGTCCTCGCACTTCTGTAACCTTACCGGTACATTTTCAACAGATTTTCTCAAGTCACCTGGTACATTGCCTAGAATATCACGAATTTTGTTTTCAAGTTCATCAATGGTCCTTGGTTTTGATTTTTAAACTAATTTTTTCGCCCAGCCCCACAGAAAGAAGTCGCACGGCGTTAAATCTGGACTTCGAGCAGGCCATTCCGTTGGCCTTCGACGACCTATTAAATTAAGTCGCTGGGTGTCTGAAAAGTCACTCCCTCTTTTTAAATTGCTATTGCTCCTAAACTGAAGGAGATATTGTAACCGTTCTTTCACTGTTTTAAGCTTAATCATTACCATTTCTATTATAAGTGAATAATGGCTGAAAAATTAAGCATAGAAGAACGAGCGACTTAATTTAATAGGTCGTCGAAGGCCAACGGAATGGCCTGCTCGAAGTCCAGATTTAACGCCGTGCGACTTCTTTCTGTGGGGCTGGGCGAAAAAATTAGTTTAAAAATCAAAACCAAGGACCATTGATGAACTTGAAAACAAAATTCGTGATATTCTAGGCAATGTACCAGGTGACTTGAGAAAATCTGTTGAAAATGTACCGGTAAGGTTACAGAAGTGCGAGGACAATGCTGGAGCCTACGTTGAATTTTAACTTTGTAATAAAGCTTTTCAATTTTGTTATAAAGTAAACGGTAAAAAATAAGCTTCAATTCAGTTAAAGAAATGTTTTAATATCTCCTTTGGTTTAGGAGCAATAACAATTTAAAAATAGAGAGTGACTTTTCAGACACCCTGTATATAGCCCGAGGCTGCGGGCGATATGCACATGAATACCTGCTCTCGCTAGACTGTGCCCGACGGAAAAGCCCAAGGTCGCCTGTCGGGTATTTCCATTCCTTCCTTGGATCCCTTGGATTTTCACCTTCCTCTTTCCCGATTCGACTCTCGTTGGATGCGCATGTTAGTGCTGGTTCACCCGTGTGTGTTGAGTTTCAGTAGGCGTACTCTAGAGTTTAAATCTAGTTCATGCTAGACTTTGACGTAATATCACTTTGAATACATTTTAATTTAAAAAGATACGAGTTTGTAGCTTGGTTTTCCTAAGTCCTGGCATCTCGACAAGTGTGCTGACGTTCGAGACAGTATATTGGATTCCCATCAGACGTTGCGCTGTCTGCTATGAAGGGAAGGTAGTTTTGGTAACGTGCGACAAATAAGACCCGAGAAGTACCCCTCATATCCCCAACATGGGACTACAGATTCCGGATAGAAAGACTCTTGCAGTCAAAGCTGTGATTCTTGTGCTTGTGACTTGTGCTTTGACAGCTGAGTCAGGTGGCAATGACCCGTAGTTCCCTTGTTTTTCTTAAGTTCGGTCAACCTCCTTTTTTTAATTTCGAAATGAATTTCGAAA